TTATGCGTATAATCGCTGTAATTTAGGAGATACAAAGACTAAATTGTGTAAGCATCCAAGTTGAAGCTAACCCATGAAAAACAAGAGACGCTAACAAATTTGCATGTAAAAGAGTTTGTCGTGTAACAATGATCACACTTCTAGGAAAGACTTGTTAGGGTCCAGAAATGCTTGAAAAAGGAATAAATCTGCCTCTAAACTTTCACGCTGACAATATTTACGAATAAAAACCGCTAACTATTCAAAAGCTTTATCTTCAACCCCACCCCACCTTTAGAAAGATAAAAACATTAAGAGGCAAAGAGACAATATTTTTGTTGAATATTATTTTTATGGTCTTAACTACCCCATTTTAAACTAAGAACTAAGTTTTCGGGAAATACCTAACAAAAAGGGTGTTGCTCCGTACATTCTTCCTAATGTTCTGCTCCGCTCAGTAATGCCCAACATTGTTTACACCTGCGCTCTTTTCTTTCGTCACAAAATCCCTCGCTTACATCATGAAGTGCTATAGACTCTAAACTCATCTCCTTTGTTCCATCTCAAACTCTAATAGACCATCACAATTACAAAGTCTTGTGAATATTAAATAGGAATATCTGCAAACATATTTATTATTGCAAATTTTTTAAAACTCTGACAGTTATTTTCAATTTTGATTTTCCAGCCTTGCTTTAGAGCTGTTCCCCTGCAGCAACATCGCGAATTTTCATTACAGTGTATAGCTCGAAATTCTCCCCAGCTTTCTCCTACAAATGAACTTTGTAGAGCTAAAAAGATCATTTTTGCGAATTGTAACTCAATGTAACTAATAGCCCTAACAGCCCTATTCCCGTTTTCCTTCAGCTGACAGTTGGCTGCAGTGACGAGGGATGGATCGACTTCCTGGAAATAAGAGTTAAAAATCAGGTCCTCTAAAACAATCCCAGAACTTGTTAAAGCAGGTGGATCTCATGAAATTCTAACATAACTCAAAAATATCACAAGCCATCATTTGCTTGAGATTTCATAGCCTCATCAAAGGCCGTAAGAAACGCTAATGCATACTCTCCTCTTGCAGGTGGATTCGCCATAAAGCACTTCGAAGAGGTTTTTTAATCCGGCTACTACTTGAGACTGGGCTTTCAGAATCTGTAAAACAAATCATGCATTTCATTTGATAAATAACAGAATGGTACCTGAAACTTGTAACACCGACAGATTTTTAGTTCTTATATAATTTGGGTAAGAGAATTATTATGTAGTGAAAATTCAAGATTAAGTCTCTATCGCTAATGGCTGGTTATCCCATTCATGCTACCAATATTTCTAAAATATCCTGCGGCAAGATTTGTAAGGCCTTTCTGACAA